AACATTTCGACTTTATTCTCGAAACATTTTTACTTTATTCTCGTAGTATTTCGACTTTATTCTCGTCATTTCGACTTTATTCTCGTAATATTACTACTTTAATCTCGTAATCTTAGAATTTTTTTTTTTTTTTTACGTGGCACTAAAACTCTGTCGTACTGATGCAACAAAGCATTTAGAAAAATAATAACCAACACGCACAATGTGTATATAAATTACATTGTGATTTAAACTGGAACCTGGTTAATTTGCTTTCAGAGATCTGTGTGCAAACGAGACCATGATTGGAATTCACTAATTACAAATTGCAGAAAAAATTTACATACTTTAATTAAAAAATTAATCAAATAATATCTAGCTCTGATATCACCACTCATTATAACACATTAAAGGAAATTGCTCAACCACTCATCTGTATGAGATAAACATCCCTGTCATTTTTTATACATTATAAAGGCTCTTATAAAGTGGTGGGGACTGCTTGCCATGGCAAAACCCAGACCATACCTCCTGCTGGTTTGGCCCAGTGGAGCTGTTTGCATTCTCCTGTACTGTATGAAGAAGCGTCAAGAGCCTCAGCAGGGTGTCACAATTACAGGGCGGCAACAGGTACAACAACTGCTGCAGGTATGTCAACTGATCTGCCCCTCTCAACACTGTCAGACAAACACAAAACATCTGGTAAGGTGAGCATAGTTCATAACAGCTGATACAATAATGAGAAGTGTGTTGGATAATACAGAGTTTAATTGTGTATCCTGATTCCTGTGTAATAATATAAATGTTAGATCATTTGTGAATGCCTGTCTTTGTAATTGTAAGCTCATACAGTTAGCGTGCAGGAAGGCCCGGTAGAGTTCTCGTGGTAACAGGGGGTCAGGCATGTCCCTCAGAAACTCCTTCAGTAATGCAGCCACATCATGAACGCTGTGCTCTTCGTCTAACGCGACATCTATCCCCATGTCAAAGTCCTCGCGCAGCTGAAAACACACAAGGACACAGCAGGATAAAACACCATCAAACAGACTGCCACCGCACATGAGACTCAAGTATCCCATGTATCCTGTGCCTGTACAAACACAGTATAATACTGAAGTATTAATAATTAATAGTATAATAATGTAGTACACATACAAATCACAGTCAGCCATGAAAACAAGACACTGTGCATGCTAAGATCAGTATCTAAAATATTCATTGAGCAGGATAAAACAGTATTGCCAGTGTTATACTGTCAGCAGTCTGTTTCTAGAATCAATATGAAAGACAGGGGGCGCATGCCACACGTGAGAGAGAAAAGATGTGGCGTAAACTGGCTCTAGAGAGCAGCTGGAACTGACAAACTTACTTGACGGACTCTTTTTTTGGAGCTGCCTACACGAAAAATCCCCAAAGTTTGTAACCCTAGAGAGAGAGAGAGAGAGATGGTAAACGTGCTGGGCTCATATTTCATTGTCCTGATTTTATATCTATTTTAGTGTTTTTTGAGTGGTGTCTCATCTTGGTGACCTTCTGTTTGCAACCTGAACCAGGGTGTGTTATGAGCTATTAGCCTGAGGATGTTTTCAAATTCGTTTACTGATATTTCAGGGAAAGAACAAAATTCGCAAAAGTATCCAGTATTTTGTACATGACATTGTTACACTTAGACAGTTCATAAACATATCACTTTGATGAATGTTATGGTCTTCAAACTAGGGTTGTGCACCACTCAAAACTAAATTGAGTGTCTTTTCTTGAAACTTTTTAAATAAAAATTTGAATTACAACAGCCAACCCAGAGGCAGAATTCTAAATGAAATTTGAATTACATAAAATTGAAATAGAATGAAATGTGAAATATATATACACACACCTCTTCCATCTACACTTGACCCTCTAAAAATAGAACTCTCTATTCTATTTCTGTTTTATCTACTTTTTTCTTTTTATTTATTATAAAAAATTACCCTCTAACACCAGCGTTCTCTGTTCTTTTTCTATTCTTTCAAACTTGTTTTCTTGTTATTTATTAAAAAAAATTGACCCTCTATCACTAGCGTTCTGTATATTTTTCTATTCTATCTACTTATTTTCTTTTTATTTATTACATTAAAAACCTTTCTGCGTGTACTGCATTAGACTAACCCAGACTTGCACCTACTCATAGCACCTACATATTATGTATTACTACATAATATTATGTATATATTATAACATATTACATATTATGCTCTTTGTTTGTTTTGATTGCTTCTGTTGTCCTCAATTGTAAGTCGCTTTGGATAAAATGCTTTGGCTAAATGTAAATGTAATATATATATATATATATATATATATATATATTGTTTTAATACTACAATTGATTGCTTCTGTTGTCCTCAATTGTAAGTCGCTTTGGGTAAAAGCATCTGCTAATTAACTAAATAAATAAATAAATAAATAAAAATAATAATTAGATTTAATCTATTTTAAGGCATAGCCTGACATGTGTCAATCCTCCACTGGAATTGCTGTCAAAGGTTCAGGCGCTTTTTGTTTATATCTTTTGGGACCGATTACACTGGATGCCTCAGAGTGTAGGGATGAAGGAGGACCAGGTTTGATCCACCTGAGTAATAGAGGAGCAACTTTTCAATTCCAGTTCATACAGAGGTTTTTGTGTGGTCCTGCAGACCTGGTGTGGAGACCACTAGCATGCATTATTTTGAATCTTGTTGGGTGGACTGGGACTGAGCAGAACTTTGTTCTTAATAGACTTAAAACAATTCATCTCTAATGGACTGTCAGCTTTTTATCGTGGATTGGTCAAAGTGTGGAATTTGTTCAAACGGGAGAGGATGGGATATCATGATTCATTGTACTGGTTGCTTCAAGAGCCAGTCGTACACGGAACTCGTTTGAGTACAACCTGTCAAATGGGTCCTGGTCTACTCAAGAAATTTTGTTTGTCCAATGTTGTGACTTTGGGACATGTAATTCAGTTTACAGGTGCAAACATGGACAATGCTCATCTCCTTGCCTCTCATTTAAAGGTACACTCCACTCGTGTAATCACATTGTTACTCAATAAGTGGAGAGTTGCTGCATCTGTATTGTAACGGTTCTGTTTAACTCAATGATAATGATCTTTTTCCTTCGATAATGTTTCTCACAGATTTTAAGGATTGTACAGGACTAGTTTTAGAAAAGGCTAATTGCTTTTGTGTCTGTAAATAATGCTGATAAGAAATTGTTGTACACTTTATTCGTTAAAGTTCTGCACAGAGACAAATTAAATGGTAAAACTGACTGTAACAAAGTTCGTAGGTCGGGAAGAAGGAGACGGGAACCGTGAACATTTAAACAAAACTTTAATAAAATAAACAAACACAAAATAGCGCGACAGCCCCTTGCGGACGACTGTCGCGCACAAACAAAACCAAAACACAAAATAAAATCCAGGCCTG